ACAAATTCCTTAAACCCTTCATCTTCTACTACTCTAAATGGTTGGTAGTCTTTTGTAAATAATTTTAAAAGAGCCCCATCAATTTTTTTTTTACTATCAACAGTCATTCTTTTAGGAACATAACCAATTATGCTAGTTTGCTTACGTTTACGTGCAACTTCAGTTGGCCTCGACATACAAATACTGGCTGATGAAGATACAGGTGCCATTGATGATCCAGATGTAGAAGGTTGAGGATCACGAGTTTCTGAGTCGTCTGGATTGTCTGATACTGGTTTTTCACACGCGACACACAGTAGAACATGACCATCGCTTTTAAATGTCTCGTTTGGAAATTCATTAACGTACTGACAAACTTTGGACGAAATAGTTTTACTAATTTTTGGTATTTTTGAAATTTGTGTAGGTACGTACAATTACGATTACAGCCAAACACTAACTATAAAAACCTACTGCTAACGCTTGTGTAACGTGCCGAACAGCGTTACTTGTTGAAATGGAAGCAGTAATTGAACAAAACCTCTTTTGATAGTATTTATTGTATTTATTATGTAAACAGTTTTTATAGAAAATATTCTAAGTCCAAATAATTGAGTAATTAGTGACTGTTAAAGTTGAGGCTGGTTGCTCGTCTGATGAACGCTCATCCATCAGCTCTCCTCGATGGGTCTCTCCAGTCCCTTCCACAGATTCACATGACCATACATGGTCATCCTGCGGTTAGGCCTATTGTGGGATTTGTCACCCGGTCGTCGCTGCACGCGCCGGATGTCATCAGATAACATCTTGTCATTTAGTATAACAGCATAAATCCTAGTTCACAGTATTTTAGAATTATTTATATACGTAGTCATATATCTATAGCCGCGCGCCGTTCATGGTCATGCGTTCGATTATTATTATCTTCGAGCTGTATATATGCGGTCGTCGCTCCACTACACACGTACTGTATACATAATACATGGTGCCAGCGACATTATTATTATTACTATTATTGAATTTTACGCGGCACGTCTATTATATGATTATATGATTCCGTACATAATATTAGAATAAGATTTATATTGTTAAATAGTTATTTAAGAAATAGTCACAGCTCGCTACACTTGTCAACCCGTCTGCTACCGATTGTCAATCGTATATAAATGTATACTATATTAAGATATCTATTATATCTATATGAAAATTATAAGATGACGACTATAAAAACTACTAAATATTTGCTCCACGTGGATCGTCACAGTTCATAATGGCTGTTTTTAATGGCTTGAAAACGTATGAGCGATGAAATGATAAAATATGTTTAAAAATATTTAAAAATTAGTGAAATATGTAAAAATATGTAATTATAATAAAATATGTAAAATAAAAGTAGCATCATTTTAATAGGAATGATTTAAATCATGAACATTTCTTATCGATTCTTAAATATCTTGTTTTAATCCGTTCCCTAGTTATCAGTAATAATATCAAATATAGGTACTTACATTTTATTAAAAGGAGTCTTGTAGCTTTTCCAGGTAGAATTTTATTTGATCACTGGTGACTTGTTGGACGGGAATATCCGAATATATATCTTATGCGCAACATATTACCGTACAATTAAGCACACACTGTTCTGACATTAATTCTTTCCATGTGATTGAAAATACTGGGTGTTTTCATTTAAAACCCCCAAAAAAGAATAGTTTTGGAGAGAGGAATCTTCACACATTCAACTAACTGATTAGGTAATATTTTTTCTTCCTATTCTTGCCAGCAGTCCCATCTAATATTTCAAAAATAAAAATATTTTAATTTCCATAAAAATATTTCATTATACTTGACATGATCAAGCAGTTAGACACAGTGATTATTTAATTTTATTTTGGGTTTACATAAGAATCACTTAGGCACTTCATTATTTTTCATATTAGTGTCCGCCATCAATTGTTCAATATCGTACAATTTGATATTAGCCATTTTAACTCTTGGATATCCATAATACTTTGTTGTACATTGTTTAAAGAAATGTGTGAGGTATTCGATTCAATACTTTGGATAATTGTTTTCAAGGAATCGATCGGATAAGAGAGAAGTTTCACATCATACTTCGGTTTAATTAATGATGATTTAACAAAACTAACAAACTCTAAAAAAGAAAAAAAAATGTTATAATTCTTATTTAGATTAAATAAGTAAATTTTAATTTTAAGTACCAGCATGATTATTTAAATTTGAATTTTGCATATTATGGACCAAACATCTGATTTTGCTATACCTACTTTGAAATAATGACTCATCAAAACGTATTGAACCCAATATATTAAATTGAAATAGTTAAACAGTTGAATTAGGTATATAAATATATGTGTTATCATAAAAGTCCAGAGTTCATTATTATTATTATATTGTGTAGAATCTTTTCATAGGTACTTAAATTTAATTTAGATGTATTGTTTACTTTAAATCTAAAGAACTATTTTGATTAAGTTGAATAAGTCTAGTCCTCTAGGGGTTAAGCAAAACCGATTGACGATTAACAAGATATTATAAACTATTACATGTGCATACTACCTCAATTATAATTAAGTACCTACCTACCTATATGTTAGTACACGATAATAATCCAAGCTTACTTCCAACCTTGTTGGTCCATTATTTATAGAGTTATCCATAGCAAAAAGGTGCTAAATCGACTACATTTTGTTCCACAATATATTTGTTCCAAATTCATTAAGATCCGAATTTTACCTTTTGTTCCACAAAATAATTGTTCCTACTGACTTTTTTTCTTTTAACTCTGTAAGAATGATTTTCAAATAAATGAACATTCAAAATATCAATTGTATTATTTAGTAAGAATTTTCTTTTTATATTACCTTCACTCGACAACAGTTGATGAAATTCAAGTTTTTTTTTTAGTAAAGAAAAGGTTGTTTATCAATATTTTTTTTTGATATTAACTGTATTCTTATTTCTTACCTTCTGTTAGCATAGGTTTTGATTCATTTATAACTTATAATTAATTCATACAATGTTGTATAACATGTTTTTGACTTTCTTAATTTATAGCCCCAGTTCGATTGTGCATACCAATCATAATCTCCATTTTCGCATTTATTTCATCGGTTAAGATGTTGATGAAGATATTCCAGTACTCAGCAGTGCTTCCAAGTATAATATTTATTGTCAGTGGCGCACAGCGGTCGGAAATACAAATTTAGGCGGACTAAATTATTTTATTTGCATTATGTGTTCCTAGTGTTGTTACATTTTAATTTTAATTATTGTAAAATTTCAAATATGACGAAAATAAAATAAAATAAAATTTATTTTTATTTTTACAGTTTACAGACCATATATTTTTATAATTTTGGTTTTCTGAATATTCTACAATATTTCATTCGGAATCATCGTCAGAGTCACTGTCTCTGTCAGAGTCTCCATATTTGTCTATCTCAACAATTAGTAGTGCTTTAATATCTTCATCTAGTGATTTTAAGATCATTTTCGATATTTTTTTTAAACTTGAAATGTAGGGATCTGATGATACAAGTAGCATATGACCTAAATCCTCATTTTGTAAGATTCTGTTTATTTTTCTTGTACTATTTTGTTTTATGTTCCTGAAATCTTTATTTCGGGCCTCTTGAGCCTCTTCCGACAACTGGCCTGTAAAATAAACATGTTCGTTGTTATTTAACTATATTATTATATAACCATACTAAATTTTTAAATATTATTAATACTAACCTATGGGTTATAAGGCAGAACGTATTACATCTGTACCATGTATTAAAACTTTTTGAACTGAAGCAGGCATGTATACCACGGATACAGTGAAACATAAAGTTCCGCAGTCTCTTAAGTATAGGCCTCAAACTTTTCTAAATGTATGTCATAACCACTGGACATTGTCTTTAAAATCACCCCAAATCGTTTTATCAGTTGTAAATCTACATTTGTTATATCGGATGTTAGTTCCGCATTTTTGAAAAATCTACGAGCGGTATTACCGTCATTAGTTGTTCCTTTGCCTATATAATAAAAACACAAATTAATTTAAATTTGTTAAATTTATTGATTAAATTTGTAATCTAAAATAAATACCTTGCAAGACTACATCTATAAGTAGACCTGTTTCAGTTCGAAATCGATCTTGAATGTATTTTTTTATTTTTTCAAAAATAACTTTATCATCAGATGACCGAACCTGTCAACAAATAAAAGAGTTGGAAGTTATAAAACATATTTTTTCTAAACTATAGTAAAAAGTCATCATTCATTGTACTAACCGGCTATTTTTTGAACTTCAATCTATATGAAATGTGTAATAAACATTCAAAAAATCGTATGTACGCATGAAGCGTTGAGAGTCCAAATTTGAAATGCTCAGGCTGTACACTTAAATTTTTCACCCTGGTTATATCATTCATGTCTTTTGGAGAACACTTACAAATATAGCACTTTTGGCTTGATGAACCAGTCATTTGTATTGCAAACCTAAAATTAAGTTTAAAAATAAATGGTTCATTTTGGTAATATTATATATTTATACTCATTGACTTATTTGAAATGTAAAATATCATACTTAATAATTGTGATAAAACTTTGTGAAACTTACTTTTCCGTCTACCATAGTAAACATTAATATGCTTTGAACCCGAATTTCAATATTATTTTTAAAAACTGAAGTCGGAATCAATGACTTAATTTCTTCTTCAACAGCATTTACCTCTTCTAATGTCGACACAATAGTTTCCTTTTTGTATTCGAATTTTATTGGACGACAGTAACGAGTTGACGATGGACGAGGATTTTTCCATAAAACTATCGTTTTAGGATTGTCAATCTTTGTACATCTTAGCTGTAATGGCACTAGTGAAAACATAAAAATATCGGAATCATTTAAGTTACTAGACGTAATTTGCTTGTAACGAGCTTGACTACTGCTTCCATCACATCTCCATTTACATGATATTTCAAAGGTTTTCATCGTTAAATCTACAGCTGGTATATCAGCAATTAAAAAATAATCTTGTTATTGTATGATCAATAAGGTGTTGTAATTCAATTTTAAAATAAGATTCTGCAATATGAATATTTTCCGGATAGCATTTTTTTTTGGCTATTAAAACATTATCATAACTCGGGTATATATTTGCTCTACGTTCCTTAGCAGATTTACGAATATTTATGTACTGTTGCTTTGTAAGTTTATTTTCAATTAAAAATGCTAATGCTTCGTCTACAGAATATGGCATGATGGCATTATCAATTGATAGTGAAGCCATGTATGATTTTTTGATTTTTGATGCTCGGGTTGGAGAGGATAGTGATTCGTTGACTATACTACAAGCTGCTCTTTTTCCAGACATGTGTAATTTGTTTTTGGCGGCAAATAATATTTCTGGAGAAGTATACGATTTCGTAAGTTGTTGAATTTTACGTCTTTTATTTCTATCAGAACAATCAGGAAACAGTTTTTGAGGTCTGCCGACATTTGATGATGATGATGATGGTAGTGATAGAGGTGGTACAATAAATAGTTTTCTTAGCCATTCAACATTTGATTCACTAAATCTGATAATATTTCTTGAACTTTTTATCCAAAGTTTGCTTAAAACCACTTTGAAATTAGAAATCATTGACTTAATTTTGTTTTCGTATTCTTCTTCCCAATTGTCAGCAATATATTTTTGTTTAATATATTGTAGTAAATATCGGTTAGATACCACACTTCTTGGATCCAGAGGCCCCTTTGTTCTTAAGAATACAAACAAATCATTGTATACGATTTTGTTATTTTCATCAATAACTGAAATGCGAAAATAATAATCGTTAAACAAAAAAAATTTAAAGGAAAATAACAGATATGTTAATACAGACACAACTCGACGCAGATAAAAATTATGTCATTGAAAAGCTAAGAAGTTTTTGAATAATACCTATATAGTTTTATGTGATCATTTTATATCTCTTCTTAAATAATATCTTTCAAAATGTAAAACTACTACTAAAAAAATGTTTAATAGTGATGCAATATATATACACCATGTAATTATTAGAATAATATGTATGAATTGAAATTAAACTTAAAATTTTATTGATGTCCATTTTAAAATAATTATTAAACTTTTATAAAATTGAACATACACTCTGAACACAATCCACGAAGAAATGAATTGATATTCTTAATCAACCGTTAATATTATACATTTTGTCTCTAATCTTTTTACAGTTATCGCATTTTAAGTGGTTACTGTTGTTATAATAACCCAGAGTCTATTAAATGTTGTTCTATTTATTGTACTGATATAATATTAAGTGCTAAATATCTAATTTTTATCTTTTTTCTTTTTCCATTTTGTCCACCTAAATTTGTATTTCCGACTACTGTGTGGCGTCATGAATATTTTATTCTTAGGGGCCAATACTAAAGCTATCCACCCACCCACCGACACATCAAACCTGCTGTTGCATTTTTTTTTTAATTATATAATAAATATTGATATTATATTACTATATCAATTAACATTAATGTAACAAGTTACCTATTATTGAACCTATGTTATTTTAACAAATTTAAAGTTGGCAGTTTAGTAAACTATTCCAGTAAATTAAAAAATAACAATAATTAAAAAATATATATATAATAGTAATAAAACATTAATCGTTCAACATATGACTTAAGAGTATAATCAAGTTTTTTCATTAATGTAGATGATGTAGCTAATTCATTTATGGCTTGATTTAAGTTATAATTATATCAGTTTCACTGTTTAAGAAGAGGACACTTTCTAGCCTTAATTGGGACATTGTGGATCTTAACCGAGACATAATTATATTACCCCACTTATTAAGCAGTGACCATATACCTATCCAAATAAACTTTATTCCTAGGAAAGGCGTCACAAACAAAAACAAAAGATGGAACTTAAAAAAACCAAACTGGCTCATATTCGAAAAAAATTGTGTACAAACAAACAAATTAACTAGCAAATAAACTCCAACAAAACATAAATTAAATTGCTGAAACTTTCACCCACATAATAACCAATGCAGCAAACAAATTTATCTGAAGCCATATAAATGAAAACACGAAACCAAGAGTACCCTGGTGGAATGACGAAATAAAAACAGCCATAAAAAAGAAGCACTCATTAGATTAAAAAAAAAAAAAAAAAAAAAAAAAAACACTAGAAAACTTCATATTATTCAAAAAACAAAGAGCCAAATTCAAATTTTTAACCAAAAACAGTAAAAAAAAAATCCTGGGAAAAATTCACTGGCTCAATAAATAATAAAACCAACTCAAAGGAACTTTGGATCAAAATCATATCTCTGAAAGGACTCAATAAAGACCAAGAAATACACATATCGAATGAACACACCTTAACATCTCTACCAGAAGAAGTCTTCAGCAACTCAATATACAAACAAGAATTCATAGACAAAATAAAAATACCTTCCAAAAACACTCACATACAGTTCGACACCAACCCCCTAGACACAGACCAAATTAGTTTAAATGAAACAATAAACTTAAAAGAAATGAATATCGCTCTTAGTAAATACAAAAGTAAGATCCCCGGTCCCGATGAAACACTTAACTGCTTCCTACAAAACCTCGGACCTACGGCCAAAAACCACATATTAAACCTATACAACACAATATGGAGAACAGGAAGAATACCAGAAGAGTGGAAAAAGGCATAATTATACCAATTCTTAAACCAGGTAAAAATAATAACACTGTCGAAGCATACAGACCAATTACACTACTAAATGCCATGACAAAAACAATGGAAAAAATTATTAACACTAGACTAGTTTGGTATCTGAAAAAAACAAAATCCTATCAATTGAACAAAGTGGCTTTCGACGAGCAAGATTTACAATAGATAACGTTTACATAATAAAATCTGAAATTGTCAAAGCCTTCGAAAAGAATCAAATACTGGGAATGATCGGCCTTGACATAACTAAAGCATACGATTCCGTATGAAGACACAGAATACTCCAAATACTCAGCAAAATACTAATAAACGGAAACATGTACAATTATATAAGAAACTTTCTTACTAATAGAAAATTTCAAGTCAAAGTTTCAAACTTCCTTTCAAACAATTTCACCCAAGAAAATGGAATTCCCCAAGGATTATCACTAGCAGTCACGATCTTCCTTCTATCAATAAACGACATTGTTAAAATAATAGAAACTCCTGTAACTGCAAACATATTCGCAGACGATCTTAATATATATACTGGGTAGAAGCATCAACCTAAACACAGTACAACTGTTATAATAAAATAGTGCATAAAATATAACGGGCTTCAACACCGTATTATTATTACTTTAAAAAAAAAATATTAATCAAGTTTAAGCTACACCATTGCGTATGTTTGTAGATGGGTAAAAGTACCTTTCTGAAAAAAAAAATAAACACGATTGCGAATGAAATTGTATGCAACGTTGTCAAATTTACTAATTTCATCGTATATAAAATAAATAATAATATAATATAATTTATAATATAATAAATATCGAATAAATTATCGTAAATAAATTGTTTAAATATCTTTAAATTTGAATCCCTTGACATCTATAACCTTCTACTTTTAAATACTGAATAACATTTTTATGAATTTTGTACTCATCATAATCCTTTATTGTATTTTGAATCCTGTTCAAGTCTTTTTTTGCCATTTTCTTTACTCTCCCATTATTAACTGATTTTATTATCGATCTGGTTAGCATTTGGGTTTCTTTCAATATTTGAATAACAACATTATGTGTTGGAGGATGAGCACTGTGAAATTGTCCGTTATAAGTCCTATGAAAGCTTTCAGGTCCATTTGTGGTACCTACTAAAAATTATAAATAAACAATTAAGAATATAAAAAATATATTGCTTTGTATAAATTGCTCACCGAGGATTCGTGTTTGGTTCTTGAGCCCACATTTATGGAGGAAATGGACATTCTGGTTCAATATATGTTTTTAATACATAGTCGGGAAAAATATGACTATATTTTTGGTTCGGACACGTAGCCATTAGTTCAATAAAACTATTCTCAACTTCGGTAAATGGGAGATATGCAAGTGCAAAGAATGATTTTAACCATGTTCCTAATTCGTCACTTTCGTTCATGTAAGTAATTCTTAATATTTGTTCTTGTATCTAAAATTGAAATATTACATTTTATAATTAAATTCAATAACTTATATTTAAAATGAATTATTTATATTATTTTATAATATATTATGTATTGATGTATGTACATTATTATGCATTGAAATACTATATAAAATAATATAAATAGTATGTAGTTTTTTATGTATCAAAATTATCATCAAATTTCAAAAATAATTTATTTAAATAATATTATATTTTACATACTTTACGCCACCAGGCTTACCCTAAATGAAATTTACAACCCATCAATTTCGCTTCCGGAAATATTTCTCTGATTGCTCCGATTTCAAAGTCTAGTCTGAATTGAGTAACTACTAGTTTTTTTAAAGTCAACCTCATACACAGGTCCACAAGAAATAGCCACATGTTTTGGTAGGTTTCTTTGGTTTAATTTTCGCAAAAAAAAGTAAACAACCGGTGCATAAAATCCATTTTTGTAACAGTGGATAGTATAAAGTTGATAGAAGTTGTTTAGGTGCGTATTGAAATGTACAATCTGCAAATAGCTCTGAACAATTCATCAAAAACTGCAAAATTTTCTTTATTTGTAATGCAAACTAAATTTTTTTCAGTTGAAACATGAACAAAATTTTCTTCTAACAGCATACAACAATTATCTTCTTTCATATTTTGTAACTGACGTATAGCATCATCTAATGAAGTTGGAAATAGGGGATACGATTGTCTTCTCTTATCATACATAGCTTTCCAAACTGAAATAATGTCTTTCATTTCGAAATTACAACTTACACTATTCATTAGTTCTTTTCTAATAATTTTGATAGGTCGTGTTGAAATTCCATCGTCTGCTTGTCTTTTACAATTTTCTCGCAAAATTTGTCGTTCTGTTTTCACTTCAGAATTAGATTCATGCGTATGCTCACCAATAATATTTACAATAGACGTCTTATGCGCATCAGTAACTATGCTAGCGTAACAAGTTTTAACTGTGCAAAGCCATTTACGCATTCCGTTTTTACGTGTTCTTACATGCCTATACTTATTAAAATTTAAAAGAACTAACTGTTTTCCTTTTTCGGATTGAATTAATTGAATTTTATTTTCCATGTTACTAAATTTTGGTATAATCGGTATACACATCACTCAACGCACTACAATCATCAACGATCGACTAAAACTCAGAAAATACCGTATAACATCATGGAACTAACGATATTTAGTTATATTTGATATAATTATAACAATAAAGGTAGATAGTAAAAGTAATAAAACGCAATTATAGACTTGTGCAAAAATATGCGAAAAAAGGAAATCTTACAGTATAAATCAACGAAAAACCCAAAAACCATCAGATACCTAATACGAAATTATCGTAATAGTAAAGGTATTATACCTATATATTATCGCTATAATTGAACGACGTTGCATCAGCGTGATCGTTCTATTACTTAATCAATACATTTACAACTTACTTGATAATTCGATTGACAAAAAAAGTAAATCATTAATCAACTATCATTAATGAATGACTATATTATAATATATATATTTCAAAAAATGTTATTTTACAATATTAATTAATATAAAATAAGTGAAATCTACTAAATTTTCAAAAATTACAAATTAATTTCAACTTAAAGTAGTCCCTGTACTCAAGGTCTATTATACCGCCCTTGTGGGGGCCCTGTATACCGGTATGAAAATCGGCAACAACGCTTAAAACTTCGTACACAATTGTGTAGTTAAAAATCAGGTAAAATCGTACGGAATCGTGTTGCTTAAAAAGGTATCGCGGATAACGAACGTACGCAATCGTGTTCTACTTAAACTGTCAACTATAGTAAATCTCATATATGTCTTACTAGAATGAATTCATTTTTGAAAAAACATTGTATTTCCATACCAATTTTCATACATTATCTGTAATTTTTCGGTAAAAGTATGAACTACTTGTATGAAATACCGTGTATTAAATTGTCTAGCCTTAGATATAGGTATATATTTTATATTTTATAAGTTTTGAACCACAAATTAACCGTGGTTTTGACGAAATTTGAACTTTAAATGCTTATAAAAAATAACCATGATGCCTGATGTATTGTTAATATTTTAGCTATAATAAAAAAACTTACGTAGGTATTACATTTTTAAGCTTTTTGACCGGATAAATAATTTTTATTGACATTTATAGAAAAAAATTTTAATTAATCAAATACAATCCAAGTTAAGACGGTATAACCAAGCTTGTTACCAAACAATTTAAATACATTTTCATTTTTTTTTCTCCAATTATTTTTTAAAGCACTAAGAATTTTCAATTTCGACTTCCTAAAAGTACTAACTAGATCCAATTTGCTTCCAAAAACATACACTGGGCATCGAAGCTTATGATCAGAGCATTTTTTCTACCAGAAGAGTTGAAAAGTTACAAACATTTTAAAATACCCCAAATAAACGTCTGCAATTATTAGACTGGACAAAATAAAAATTAAATTGTAACAAATTTTCAAGCCCCCCCCCCCCATTGAAAAATCCTGCGGACGCCACTGGCCATGGGTTTTAAAACTATTATAATAATAATTATTATGTCTTTGCTTTGGCACATAGAATCGAAATCGAAAAACGTTACGTTACGAAAAAAATTTGCAAAATATAATATTTCTAATCCGAGATTCGAACTCGATATACGCGCTTATCACACGATATATATACGATAGCCATAGCAAGTATAACAAAGACATAAAATTTGGTACTTCATTGCAATATGATTTTTCTGTTATAATAGTTTTAAAACCCATGGCGACCATTTATAAACCAAAATGTCCCCCTTAAATCTGTAAATCCCCGTTTGAGCATCCCCTGGTTTGACCTAGGGGGGTGATTTTTTTTTTTGTATTTTTGGTAATTTTTAAAGAATTGTTCATGTTGTAGCTTTTATTCAAAATTATAAAAGTTTTAATACAACTTATATATTTTTATGATCGAAAAAAGTCCGAGAAAAATTATTTAATACATATTAATAATTAAATAGAAATAAAAATATTTAATTAAAATTAGTTCGTAAAAAATTATCAAACAAAAATATTTAAATAGTAATTTTTTCAAATAATATGTTTTAATTGCTCTGTGCCTCTGTATACTAAAATTTACTTACTATAAGTACATGTCATAATTAACTTTTATATCTATAGTTAGTTACTAGTTAGTTTTATTATTTTATTTCCGATTATTTAACGTAGCATACAGTCGCCATACCGTACCGTAACCATATAGTCACTATATCGCATTAAATTAATAGTCGCGACGTATTAACGGAGCGTATTTATCTTTATTGCACTAACGTCCTATGTTATCGACGTTATCGTTAATCTAATAGCAATTTGTTCTATATAATAGTGTATTTATAGGTCAGTCGTGTGTGAACTGTCGCGTGTAATAAATTCGTCCGTGCTCTGTAAAATCTACCTAAGTGTTTTAAAAAATTATAATATGCCGAAAATTTCACAAACTAGAAAATTCGTTTTAGAATTCAGTGAAAATGTTTTTTCAACACACGCCACAGTGGGATGAAACACGAATTTAGCGTGCCAAAAGTACCTTTTTTTAAACTAAAAAATTATTGGTTTTTTTTATCAATAATTAATCGTTACATTATTCTGACGATTAAATCAGAATTTCAAAAAAATTAATTAACATACACCTGACTTACAGCTGTTAGTATAAAATATATACATTATTTGATTGATATTTTCAAACTTTTATTCATTTTCTTTTTATTTAATTTTCACACTTCAACGATAAAAATAGAATTTTTTTTTCCACAGTTATTAAATTATATACGTACATGTAACAACGACATATTATTTTTATATTTTAATTATTTTTTTTTTTCCTAATTGCTATATTATGTTGAAATTTTAAGTGTTTTAGTGGTTTTTGAACTTTTGAGGAGTAATACTTAAATTTACGCAGTTTTACTAACTATTCAATACATACATATTGTAAAGGAAATTGATAGCTCTTTGAAAATATAAACATTTTTTGCTTTCAGTTTCAACAGTAATTTACAAAAATTGTTTTCTTTATAAATATGACGTTTTACTGTAAAAACCACGCTTTTTATATTATTTAGTTTTCTCACTTGAAACCATAAAATTTTATTTTTTATTTATAAAATTGTTATATAATTGTCTTAAATGTAATAATGAAATATTATTTATTTATATTAATTCCTTTTTTTTTTTTATTTTTTTATATGCTTTTTAATAATAAGTTTTTTAATGATTTTAGTACTTTGGAGAAATGATACTGAAATTTACGCCATTTTACCAACTATTCAATACATAAATATTGTAAAGGAAAATGATAGTCATTTAAAAATATAAACATTTGTTGCATTCAGTTTCAATAGTAATTTACAAAAATGGTTTTCTTTAAATAAATATATCGTAGATATTATTGTAAAAACCTCGATTTCGATTTTTGTAAATTACTATTGAAACTGAATGCAACAAATGTTTATATTTTCAAAGAGCTATCAATTTCCTTTACAATATGTATGTATTGAATAGTTAGTAAAACTGCGTAAATTTAAGTATTACTCCTCAAAAGTTCAAAAACCACTAAAACACTTAAAATTTCAACATAATATAGCAATTAGGAAAAAAAAAATAATTAAAATATAAAAATAATATGTCGTTGTTACATGTACGTATATAATTTAATAACTGTGGAAAAAAAAATTCTATTTTTATCGTTGAAGTGTGAAAATTAAATAAAAAGAAAATGAATAAAAGTTTGAAAATATCAATCAAATAATGTATATATTTTATACTAACAGCTGTAAGTCAGGTGTATGTTAATTAATTTTTTTGAAATTCTGATTTAATCGTCAGAATAATGTAACGATTAATTATTGATAAAAAAAACCAATAATTTTTTAGTTTAAAAAAAGGTACTTTTGGCACGCTAAATTCGTGTTTCATCCCACTGTGATAGACGGTACTATTCTATTTTGTAAGATCTGTGAAGTTCAAGTGAATTGCGAAAAACGATTTACGGTTAGATACTCAGCATCTAAAAACGAATAAACATGAGCGGTAGTTAAATAGTCAACGAAATAGTATGAAGGTATCAACTACACAACAGTTGTTCTCTTCAAGTACCTCCAAAAAGTGTGCATTTTCAAAATATTTATGTAAGTCAATGATGTGTGCTAATATTCCTCTTAATAAAATTATGAATACCTACTGAATTTTGGTAATTCCTAGAAAAATATACCCTTAAAGATATTCCATGCAAATCTACTTTAAGAAAAACATATTTAAATGAATGTTACGAAGACATGTCGTTGGGAATAAAATTTGGATATCTATCGATGAAAGTACTGACGTCGAAGGTAGATGTATTGCGAACGTAATAGTCGGAACATTATTGGTAGATGAACCTGGTGAAATATTTTTATTGACATCCGAAGTTCTTGATAAAGTTAATTTTTCAACAATAGCTAAACTATTTGATGCATCAATGTTTAATTTGTGGCCAGATGGAATCCGGCACGATGACGTACTTTAATTTGCAAGTGATATATATGAAAAAAGCTGGTAAAGCTATAAAAGCGTTATAGGTACTCAAAATGATACACGTCACATGTTTGGCTCACGGAATGCATAGAATAGCAGAAGAAATACGTAGGCATTTCCCAAACGTAGATAAATTAATATCGAGGGTAAAACAAGTGTTTTTGAAAGCACCGTCTCGTACTATATTATTCAAAACTGAAGCTCCTGTAATTCCACTTCCGCCGGAGCCTATACTAACACGTTGGGGGACATGGCTACAAGCAGCTTCATACTACTGTCAATATTTTAAAGAAATATACAAAGTTTTACAACTTCTAGATTCGAACGATGCGGTTTCTATTAGAGAAGCTAAAATCATTGTAACTGACCGTTCTGTGGAAATGAAAACTTAACTTTCATTCATGCAAATTATGGTTTTTTACCGACAACAATAACACAACTCGAAAAACAAAAACTCCCGTTACATGAATCAATAGCGACAGTGCAATCCGTCGAAAATAAGTTAGAGCACATTATTGACGAGGC